ATGAATGTACATCCAGGCCTTCCCTCCTGTCAACTACTGATTTCTTTTGCTTTGCTATTTATTATTTATTTATTCCTGCACTATTGGTTATTGTTGCTAATGATTTTATGTTTTTTAATTGTTTTGATATTCTGTAAGCTGCCCAGAGTGGTGGAATATACCAGATGGGCAGGATATAAATCGAACAAATAAATAAAATAAATAAAACCTGAATGTACACAGAGTCAAGTCTCCATCAGTAGTTTAGAAGAAAAAAAGTAGAATCAGAAAAAGATCCACTAACCTCTCTGCCTAAGAAAACTGTCACTTGACAACATGAATATTCTAGAGCTCTAAGTCAATGGAGACCACTATATGCAGCAAGCCAGGGCTACCCAGTCTGTCTCCCTACCTGGGACCCTGTTTATGGCCCAGTGAGTCCTGGGAAGCCAGCTGCTATCTTTTCTCCTTCTCAGAAAGGAATAGAGTCAAACCAGCCAATCAGAGATGTCTGGGTGAAAGATTAGTGGAGATGCCCTGCTTTGGCAGAATAGAGTGGACCAATTTTCAATCTGGTCCACCAGGGAAGGATAGAGTGCACCAGACTGCTCTCCATCAGTCTTCACCTGGACTTCAGCTCACTGGGATTGTTACTTGCTCAGCAAAACAACAGCAAATAACCTGGTCACCTTAAATGCTGACAAATGCTATTTGACTAAACCCCCCAAATTTCTCATTTTCTAGCAATACTACTCCACAACCACCATCAACTCTACTGACTGATGTGACCACTTCATGAAGGCTCATGCCACAGCCAGCTCTGATCCTGTACAGAAGTTAAAAAAAAAGATTTTATTTGGAATTACAAAGATTTCATGATGGTTTGGGTATATTATTACTGATGAAATCAATCAATGAGAGAGAACAGACAGAATGGACTCTTGGCAAAAGGAATGCTATTTTCTCAGGCTAGATGTACACATATCAAATCCTACTTCATTGGATAGTTTATTTGTGATACAGATAAATGTTTCATTCTTAGTATTTCCACCTTTGATAAAGACCTTCTGGTGAAAAACAGCAACATTTCAAGTGCTTTTCAACTCCTTTTAATGTATACTATGACACAGTTGCAGGGTGCTTTTAATTACATAATACATAATACACACAGAGAGAGAGAGACCATACACACATTATACAAAGATGTGTAGTTGAGTGGTAGCTTTGCATTTCTCCAGGTAAGTAATATGTCTGCCTCAAACCTTGGAGACATGGTGCGAGTCAGTGTCAATGATACTGGCTCAGATGGACCAACTACCGGCCTCAGTATAAAGCAGCCTCCGATGTTGCAACCATTCCATGCTGCAATGATGCTGAAAACTTAAGTCAGAGTTTATTCATTTACTTGATTTGTTTCCCACCCTTCCTCAAGAGCTGTCAAATTGCTCTGCAAGAAACTAATATCTACCCAAGGATGAGAATAGCCTGCGGAACTTCTGTTGAGAATCGCTATTGTTAACAATAGAAGTGTGCCGTTCCTTTGTTCTAATTCCAAACACATTTAAAATTTAGCACATGGCATTCAAAAAAGAATGTTAATATTTAACATTATGTATATTTTAATCGCAAAACACTGGAAGAAATCAAATTTACCAATTTTGAATGTGTGATTGTGAAGCACTTGGCAAACTTTGGTGATGACACAAACTGCCCATTTATAAAGGATTCTGAAAAATAGCAAGTCATAGGCACTCGGGGACAGTTGGGATACCCTTTTTCAAGTCCTTACGCAAAATTAAGCCATATAAAGAAGTCTGCAAATAAATACTGCTCTCTCTCTCTCTCTCTCTCTCTCTCTCTGTGTGTGTGTGTTTAAGTATAGCCTTCATTCTAGAGAAACTTCATTAGTATAATCTGTTCTCTTTATTTTTAAGAAAAAAATGGCTGTACATTTTATTTTTAATAAAAGAAAAAGCATTTTATATTTCAGTGACCTCTAATAAAAATAAATAGCATAAATGGATCAACATCAAATGAGAAACTCACTCCACTGGAGGAAAGATTGGACTTATCAGCCTTGTGTGTTTTTAAAATGAACATTTAAACACCGTTATCGTTTCACAGTGTTGCAGACTGGACTGTCCTTCCTCTGAGAGGCCTATCATCAGAGTACGTGGTTTCTGTTAATCAAGCAAACACAACACTTGCCAGCTAGATGTTCCTTAACTACTTTCCCCTTTTGAATCACATGCAGTTGGATTATAGTTTCTTTCTTACAATCTGAACATATAATTCAAAGAAAAAGTCTCTGCAGCGATATCTGGAATGTTTACAACAAACATTTTGTTTGCTGAACTGATAAAACCTTTATTGTTGGGTGTGATTGGAAAACTGCAATGGTGTGTGCTGGATCACACCAGAAAGAGTTGCTTTAATAGAAGTGATCTCCCTTAAAATGGTCTTTCTCTCTGCCAGGGAATCACTCAGCCCCAGACCCCCAAAATAGAAGCCTTCCACCTGGCTCAAAAACATCCAGCTTGGGTACATTTCAGAAATGGGCTGGAGTGCATTTCCTTGTATGTTGTGCATTTGTTTGTTTTTAATATTTTTATGCTTTAGCTTTAATATCACCTTTAATGATATAAGATGCCTCTTTATACTCATTCTTCTTAACTTTAATTACTGTCCATTAATGATGTTAACCACTGCTGTATACTCATTGTTTTCAGCTTTAAACATTTTCTTTCAATGTTGTAAGCCGCCCTGGATCCTTTTAAATGAGAAAGGCAGGGTAAGAATATTTTAAATAAACAATAGATCGCACTGGACCGCTACACAAGCAGTCCAAATTGCAATCTAGTTCCCTGTGTAATTACCACCTTAGTTGCAGTTATAACTGAAATAGTTCTCAGAAGAGCTTGGGAAAATTACCCAGGAAATTCTAGGAACTGCAGTTAAAAAAAAATAACATTCCAGCTCTAGCCCTAGGAGTACATTTATTGCAGAAGAAAAATATATTGCCATGCCTCACTTCAGCATCTTTCCTTATTAATATGACTTTGAGTATGTTCAGTACCCTGTTTCCCTGAAAATAAGACCTAACATGAAAATAAGCCCTAGTATGATTTTTCAGGACGCTCATTATATAAGCCCTACCCAAAAAAATAAGCCCCAGTTAAGTGACACCCCACCCTCCACCATTGTGCAGCAACCAGAAGATGACATGACTGTATTTGAATAAACATAGATGGTTGTAAATGGGGAAAAATTCCCTGAAAATAAGCCCTAATGCATTTTTGGAGCAAAAATTAATATAAGACCCTGTCTTATTTTCGGGGAAACACAGTAGGAAAATAGAATGACTGTACTAAAATTATCCACCACCATATATCTAATGGTGATGAGTACTTTTATCCCTGTCAGGTATCTAGGACTTTTCCATTTTATACATGTATCTTTACAGGCTTCATGGCAAGTTAAAAACAAGAACCACAAAAGATAAGGAGCGAAATGAAAACAACAAGAAGAAAAACTAAGAAATAGAACTTCTATCCTCTCTAAACAGCAAATTTTGCTCTATAGAAAGCAAGGCATATGCCTACAGACAAATCCCAGCCCACATGCAACAGCCTCAATGAAACCTTATCTTGCCATTTGTTGTTTTCCTTGGATTGCAGCCAGTGCAAACATTTGCAGGTGGCTGGGCCATATTTTGACACTATCTACTATCTACAGTTGTGATAAAAATCAGAATGTTGCTACAGTACGCTTTTCAAAAGGCTTCAGGGCTCCTACTTAAGATACAGCAAGACCATTACACCATTGCTGACTGAAAACTTTGTAGGCCATTACAGGCTTATCCTGCAGGTCTTCTGCACATGCATGCAAACACACACATACGTCTCGTGTAGCCTGTATAATTAAAATTGTAAACCGCCCGGAGAGTGCTTGTAGTGCTATGGGGCGGTATATAAGTCCAACAAATAAATAAATAAATACACACACACACCCTAAGGGAGAACATTCTCCTTGTTTTTTTTTACATAATCATCAACAACATTAGAATACAGATTCCAATATATATTCACACAAGAAAAATTAAGATATACATAAGCACAAAACAAGGATACCAGCAGTCTTTTTTTAATGTAAGGACACCTTAACCAAGGTGATGAGGCAAAAATGCACACTACTTTACTGAATCTTGACACACAGAGAAAATGACCACAAATGTACCAAAGAGCAATGTTCAGTCCTGGCTTAGGGCAATGAGGTGGGGGATCTTTGGCTTTTTAGATGTGTTGGTCTACAACTCATACTATCTGGCTTCTGACATGGCTAATGATAATGAAATGTTGCAGTTTTACACCAAATCATCTTAAGGGTTAAAAGTTCCCTAGTCTATTATAATAGAATCACATCCTCAATGAAAATATCTGGAATTTGTGAAAGAGATATCAATTCCGTACTTAAATATAGACTTCTAGAAAATCTGTGGGTGAAATAGAGAGATTCTTGCTGACCGAAAATTCCAGGAATAAACATTTAAGCCCATGCTAACATCAATGCATGTTTGATTGCACACATGTTGAAAACACACATGGACTGATCCTTCGACTGTAAAAATACATACTTGTAGGTGTCTAAAGAAGACATTAAAAATAGCAATTTATTTATTACTCAACCTAGATGCTCTTTGTCAAAGAAAAAGCCAGAAGAGGCAGCTACCTCAACCTAAATAGAATAGAATAGAGCCACCTCAGCTTTGTAGTCAAGTTGAGGACTTTTGAGCCAGACCTCACACAACATTTGGGAGGAGATAGTGTTCTTTCCATATCCAGGGCTTTTGTAGAGAGGAGCAGGTATAATTGTGGCTCTTGTGACTGTAACTAGTATTGCTCTATGCACTTCCAGCTGCACTGAAGAAATCTAGCATGTCTTATCACGAATCACAGCGGCGCAAAATGTAAGCAACTATTTCATCTGAACCAGCATATGAAAAATACTGAATATGCTCTTACCCAATCTGCCGATTTGTGGAAGGTGCTTGTGTTATGACTGAGCTTGACTGCGGTGATGGCATGGCTTGCTGAATCACAATGCTGGTGTCATGGTTTGGCATCCGTGGATTGGAGAGCTGGTGTGCCCCGGGCGTTGCCATGGTTCCTCCCACAGTATTATGCATTGAAATATTCTGTGAAAAGTAGACGGGTAGAACAAATTGGATCTTATTGCTTAGATTTTCCCTAGGCCTGAAAATTGGGGATCTGGAAGAGTCAAACAAAATGAAGTGATTGGTTGCTGGCAAACAGCATGTCAATAGATCTTATTCTAACTAAAAGCTCCAAAGAGATGAAAAATAACTCTTTGCTTTTTTACAGTGCAACACAAATTGAAAATACCTGGAAGTTGACTAATTACTCTTCTGTACATCAGACTCATGATTTATAATACAGACATTGTACATATATCCATTTGCCAATGTTTGATATATATTTCATTTGGAAATGACTTTTCAGTTGGTCTATGGCACATAGATTTAGCATTCTGGCTAGTGCTACAGTCTTAGATCTGTTGAGAACGATAAGTAAATTGAATTCGACAGCTTTAGAACCAGTGCAATACTCATCAACTCAGTCCTTTAACTTTTATTCTAGGTTCAACAGGTATCTTAGCTGTTTTGAGTGCATGAGGGCCTACACGGGTTTGGCCCACAAGAGGAAGCTGTACTGCCTTCAACTGCCTGCTCTGAACAATTTGCATGGCACTTTGCAGGTAAAACCACTTAAATCAATTCTAAATTGCTGCAATTGAAGCTGCTTTATTGGATGTAATTTTGTTCCTGCTTGTCCAGTTACAAAGGATGTGTTTCAATATGTGCAGCCCAAGGATGTATACTAGATTTTTGGAGAGGTTAAAGCCTTCTGTAAATTGGACGCCTTGAAAAACACACACATAGGAAATAGACCAACATATTTCTGGCTGCTACACCTGTTATCTGGCATCTTTCTCAGATTTCTGATTTCCGAATAGTAGTTGCATAGTTGACAGGATTCCAAAAGAAAACTGAGCTCCCTCACCCTCAGCTGCATAGGCTCTATACTTTCAATTGGAGGTCTGCAGATTTGTCTTTTTTGGATTATATCTCCCAGAATTCCCCAGTCAACATGGCCCACAAGGTAGCCCTATTTTGCTTTATTGTAAACATTTTTCAAGAGCCTCTCTCTGTTAAACAGGAAAGTGTAGTAAATTTTCTGCCTTGTCTTTGCACCATACTTTCTCAGGCAAAGAGTAAAAACATTCTCATAGGACTGCAGTAAGAGATGTCAAAGCCCTAAACTTTGTTAAAATTCAAAGACCTCATTCCAGTACTGTAACAACACTTACTGTTCCAGCTGATATTTCTCTATAGATTTTTTATTTATATCAATATCTAGCCATATCTCTGTGTGTATATGCTCCCATACACCCCAACACAGCTAAATAGATGACAAAATACTTTATTATAACCTAAACCTTACCAAACATTTGCATAATCCTAGCATTGCCTTCATTTGAAGTCCTTGTATTATCCTATGCATAAATGTAGAAGATGGCTTTTGTGTTCCCAAAGAGTAAGGGTCACCATCATCTTAATGTGATTGCCATCCTTGCATGTCTATGCCATGACTGCTTGGTTTGCTTTTAGTAGCAGGAGTCATGTTTTAAGCATACACACTGTGCTGGTATGGTTTGCATCCCTCTCTTTTGGTTGAGTCAGCAGATCGCAAAGAATGGCCTACCATCCGTAACCAGTTTTAATATTTGTACATTGGATTAAAACAGCTGCACAATAATAGACTTCAGCAACACCTTCCAGACAAAACCCACTAAATAGTAAGTTTGGTTTCCTGTTGTATGAGGACTTTCTCACTTCATCATTACCATCATCATGTAACTAGTGCGACCAATCCTAGCTCTTCTAAGCATCGGTTTAAAAATGTAATGGATTTTGTGCTTTTGGTCTTTTATCTTAATTTTTGTGACATGATCCAATTAGTAGTACCCTCTAATTATCAATAGAAATGAATAATGAAAGATGCCTCCTGTTTTCCAGACTCAGCTGCCATCCATCCATGCTCTTTTAAGTCTGCTCAAGATTATCTTTTTGACATATGCTTTGAGATACACAATAACATGCAATGTATACCGGATGGATCAGCAACCACATTACCATAAAGGATTTTTTTAAAGGGACTCATAGGCTAAAGGAACAGAAACATGTAAAAATGAAAGAAACCCAGAGACATTTAATACTGTAATATTAAAATACATTATTTTATGGAGAACAGAGATACTGCCTTCAAGGGATACTAACAGGAGTACATTCCAGACTTCAAAAGGAAACCCATCTTTAGCATAGACTAGTCTTTAGTCTTTAGCATAGACTAAAGGTTATTTATTTCACAAACAATCAATTGCCTGAGCTCATCGCTCAAACAGTACTCTATACAAAGCACTTCTTATGTTCCTCTGATGAAATTTCAGTAATACTAAATGTGTACAGCACAATTAGGGTCATTTAGTGCATGTTCAGCTGGGCGAGCTACACAGCATCCTGCAGAATGAAGGCTGCAGAGCAGGGGCATTCAATTCGACTGATCGGTTCTTCAAAAATTATGTTTTGTATTAATAATACAGAAGTCATAAATCCTGAACCATTTTTCCTCTTCAGAAATTGCCTGCGGCGAAGTTCATAAAACAGGAATTCGGCAGAATGTTGGTGGTGCAAACAGATTTCCTCTCCTAAATGTAATTTTTAAAAGCAAACAAACAAGGTTATGTCTGCTAATGAAACATTAAATGCTGCTCTGGAGCGCTCTTCTTGTTTTGCATCTTTTGCAGTTAAACGAATGCAATCCTGTCAAGGAAACAGTAAACAGATTTTTGTAATAGGAGAGATTTGCTTTACCTCCATGTGGTAATTTATATCCCAGTCCAAATAAAAGCAATCAGAGCATTATACTAATTTGTTTCTGAATAGTCTTTCAATTCCTTCCTTAAGCATAACATTGGCTTCTTAAATTTAAACATTACTAAACAAGTATGTTATGTATCTCACAGCCAGTTTGCAGTGCAGCTATTTAGATATAAAATATGTTTATTTTATTTATTGCATATTAATATTTAACATTGAAATGCTTTTTGCACTTTGAAATCTACTAATGACAATCTTCTACACTCTCCATATACACATTTTTCCTAGCCTGTCTTTAAGAGACAGAGTAGAATAAATAGCACATTGAATAAAAGTGAACTTTATCATCCTTGTTGTCTCTCTGGTAATTTAGTACTGCAAATGAAACGCATACAAAAGGATGATCACACAGACTCCAAAATAATAATGACCTCAATGGGCCAAACCCATATTTTATATTTGTCAGTAGTTTGGGTCCCATCAGCTCCTGTTTCTTAAATTTCAGTCCTGAGTTGTGTGCTGAATCCACGGATGTGTTCTTCGTAGTTAATGTTCAAAAACTGTGTTGCAAAAAAAGAAAAAAAACTGGAAGGGGGGGAACTGGCTATAAAGCAGTGTTTTTTTTGGGGGGGGGTGGGATCCTGAAATTCTCCACCAGTACCATGGGCAGAAAAACAGAGGATATTTTTCTAAAGGAGAAGGGAAGGAAATTTTTTTTCTTTTTCTTGAGGGTCGCTGCCTTCAACAGTGGCAGTACCAACTTTCTTTTTTAACGTATCACCCAAGTTTTCTTTTCTGTTCTGTTCAGCACTGCTTCTGCTTCTACAACACTGCCAGAATCATAAGCAAATGTCACATCCTAAAGAAGGACACCCATGGAAAATAATTCCATCTCAGTGGGTTTTCCTATAGTAACCACGGCTCTTGCCCCCCACAAAGCTTGTTAGCCAAATACATTATGCTAATTTGTCTTTTAGTACATGCTGAGGCTTTCACATTCAGACCAGTATAGAGGTTTATATCATTGCTTCCAAGCAACAGATTATGGACATTAATCTCTCACCTTGTTTCTTCCTGTAACTATTTTACAAGGTAACATTAATATGAAACAACATTGTGCTTTATGAGTTACAGTTATTGCCAGCAATGCTCTGTTCTTCCTAGCCACAGATGCTTCTTAGAGAACACTTGATTTCTGTTGCATCACCGTCAACATTATTATAACTATCCTTATTTTATTGCACTTCTTATTTTTCAGCAGTGGTCCATGGGGACAGACCAGACGGTCAGAGCTAAATATTAGGATTCAAGTTCTGTAAATCTGCAGGTAAATGATGTGTTTGCAAAATTACTGATTTTTGGATTTCAGGAGCTGAATTAGCAACTGTTAGCAACTGTTTTAAATTGGTAACCAAAGATTTGGGGATGACTCCAGTTGCTGAAATAAGCATGGGGAGGAGGAGGATTTGATCTTGCTTCCATATTCTTTAATTTCTTGTCTTAATGCATGGTTCTTCCCAATTTTTGTGTTTTCTGTACTTCTGAGGCTGTTTGTTGGTAGAACTCCAAGTTTTAGAAGCCATGCTTTTGTTTGCTTATCCAGAAGTATAATATCAGACTTATCTGTTCTAGGCTGATTTGAAAGTAGTGAATTACCACATAAATTCTTCTTGCTGTTCTCGTAAAATATACTTACAAATTATTACAATTATTTCTTTATTGGATATATTAATGGTTTTAATTAAAAATTAGTCATTTAATGAGATTTAACATCATCATCCTTCTGCAGGGTTAGTTATGCCAACATGGAGACACCCACAGGACATTGTGGCTTTACAAGTAAAAAAAAAGAAAAGAAAACACAAGTATTTTCAGTTGAGCTTGGAAACTAACTGTACGTACTGAAGTTAGTAGAATAATGGTTGAAATATTCTGATCTAGATATCCCAGTTAAAACACTGGCAGTTACAGTTTCAGCTAACTGAGGTGCCCAGACTGCCTTCAAAGGAAGCATCATGTAGACGCATTACAGTATGTCTGTGGGACACAAAGGATGTAATGTTAAGAGTAGTTTTCTCTTTTAACCCGATTAAGCAAAATGCATATAGGAAGACTTCTTAGAGAGAACTGCTCATGGATTTCCTCTCCTTAAAAATTAGTAGTTCATCTTCCAAAAAAAATACAAGCCTTCATATTTATGTGTACTAGTCTAAACAAATACAGTGGGGTCTTGACTT